TTGGACCTGTGTCGTGTTTCTTGGACCTGTGTCGTGTTTCTTGGACCTGTGTCGTGTTTTTTGGACCTGTGTCTTGTTCCTTGGACCTGTGTCATGTTTCTTGGACCTGTGTCGCGTTTCTTGGACCTGTGTCGTGTTTCTTGGACCTGTGTCATGTTTCTTTGACCTGTGTCATGTTTCTTGGACCTGTGTCGTGTTTCTTGGACCTGTGTCGTGTTTCCTGGCCCTGTGTCGTGTTTCTCGGACCTGTGTCGTGTTCTTTGGACCTGTGTCCTGTTTCTTGGACCTGTGTCGTGTTTCTTTGACCTGTGTCGTGTTTCTTGGACCTGTGTCGTGTTTTTTGGACCTGTGTCGTGTTTCTTGGACCTGTGTCGTGTTTCTCGGACCTGTGTCGTGTTCCTTGGACCTGTGTTCTGTTTCTTGGACCTGTGTCGTGTTTCTTTGACCTGTGTCGTGTTTCTCGGACCTGTGTCGTGTTCCTTGGACCTGTGTCATGTTTCTTGGACTTGTGTTGTGTTTCGGCACAAGAGACATTTGACGTTTTTACAAACCATTTGTGTTAACATAACGTCTCTACCGTCTCTGAAACGTGCTAGCAAATTCCATCTCTAATAGGGCGGCTGGCACAAGATATTCACGGGATAGAAATGCCAGAAAACGTTTCCGAACAAAAATGAATAGCGACATTGTGAGAGTTTTATTTGCAAACGATACGAACCTCCACGGGGGGTAAATTGCCACTAATGCGTGACTTCATATCACTTCAGCCCTCCTCACACACAAGACAATATATCTTGCCACTGTACGTAATGTGTTTTCATTGTAGACCTTTCACTTCCGTAACTTATCATTGACGGGAATTATATTCAGACATTTCTGGAATTTATCTTCGAAGTCGGTTACTTATTAAGAGATTGGTGATAGTGGCACTTCCTTCAAGAGGGACATGATCAAGAATGACTTGATTGTGGTCCGAAAGTGTAGTCGACATCATAATTTCGAGAAGTTGTTATTTGTTTGGATGGGTGCTGTGTTATCTTGTACCGGGTGATTTACGTTGAAAACACAAAGTGCGAAAAAAAAAAAACGTTAAAAGAATTTCTTGGAAAGGGTAATTACCGAGTTTTGAAATAAAGGTGTATGATCTAAAATTGCCAATCTAAGACATGAAAAAGGTATTTAATGTTTTAGAAGGCGATGGTTGAATCCAGTGCACTTTATATTCTGTATGGGGCGGGAGACGTGTCCTTCAGAGTGAGTGAGTGAGTGAGTGAGTGAGTGAGTAATAGGCGTGTTGTCGGTTGTGTTCCGGCTAATTCACGGCGGGTGATGTGTGTGGGTGTGGGTCTGGTTTTGTTCGTTTCAGCTGAGTATGTTTTTTAATAATGTAAGTAATATTTAGTCAAGTCCAATGTTCAAGAGTATATTTGCTTTTCTCGGCAATTTGTTTTGTGCAGCAGTTTATTGATACATACAAACATGTAATGCTGGGAATACAGAATCAGATTCGATTTACCAAATATCTTCCGAAATGACATTACTGTGTGCGTGAGTTTCGAAATCACAAATATGTGCGTAGATTCTGTCCATATGTCTAGACGAATCTACACGAGAGTTTTCCGAAACAGGTGCTGTCAGAACTGCCTATGTGTACGATAATGATGGGTTTGTTTGTTTGTTGTTTAACGCCGCACTCATATTCCAGCTATATGGCTGTGATATGTAAATAATCGAGTCTGAACCAGAAAATCCAGTGATCAACATCAAGAGCATCGATCTACGCATTTTGGATACGATGACATGTGTCAACCAAGTAAGCGAGTCTGACAACCGGATCCCGTTAGTCGCCTTTCACGACAAACATGGGTTACTGAAAGCAAATTCTGACCCGGATCTTCACGAGTACGAAAATCGTGTAATGATAATAAAAAATATAATTAGACATGTCGAAGTAGATTTAGTAAAAAAAATAGGTTATGTTTTTCCGTTCAATGTTTTCGTTTGTCTCTAGCAACGAATTATATCCAGCGTTGTGTTGAAATATACGTAAGAGCAAAATGTGTCCCCTCCATACTTTCGTGACCCGTGAAGATCCGGGGTAGAATAGGTCTTCAGCAACCCATGCTTGCCACAAAAGGCGACTGTGCTTGTCGTAAGAGGCGACTAACGGGATCGGGTGGTCAGGCTCGCTGACTTGTTTGACAAATGTCATCGGTTTCAAATGTTCATGCTGTTGATCACTGGATTGTCTGGTCCAGACTCGATTATTTACAGACCGCCGCCATATAGCTGGAATATTGCTGAGTGTGGCGTAAAACTAAACTCACTCACTAACTCACTCACGGTACCCGTTAATAAACTACGTCCCAACATCGTAAATAATGTGAAACTATTCACCATGTACCTGAATGAAGTTCATTTTAGTCTTGTGACTTCATTCAGTAGGCGAAGAGTTCATATTTTGATATTAGACACGTATAATCGCTAACAGCTTATAATGGTTGAACTTTGTGCGTACACCTCAATGAATCCACTTCAGTGTTGACATGTGGCAGAGTCTCGCGATGCCATTGTCATGTCTAAACGTGTATATGATCATGTGACATTTGAATATCATTTTACAAAACAACCAGGGTAATTAAACCAGCGTAAACCCCTGAGACACGTAAGACACAGGTGAAACAACAGCAAAGTCGTCAATTCCTCGGCATCACGCTGCTATGACGGTGCGCAAAGTTTTCCGATACGAAGTTGCACCCTTTAGGCGAAGTGTGATCAAACTGTCACGTGTACATGATTTGTAATTAACACCATGATGTGCAGATTGTGAAACTGACTGATAATCCGCCTACGCCGTTATACGTGTTACAGAGCCTAGATATGGGCGTATGGGTTCCTACTATTGTTCGTGGGGAAGTGTACCGCAGGTGAAGTCCAGCTACGCGCCCAGATGAATCATAACAAACACTAACATACGTCGGTGTGAAATCGACAGTGACATGAATGACACACATTTCCACGTCGATCTTAACGAGGTGTCGTTAGCCGATAAACATTTGAACTTTCAGTTATGTTTTACATTTCAGAGTACTAGGTAGTCTTGCTGTATGAGGGAGACGTCAAGTGAACTGAACTTTTGAAGATCCGCTGTGATTCACCGTGTTTGTCATCCTCATGCGTACCGGCATTGCTCAACATAATCTCCCTGCCAGGTGTACCATAGTGCTAGGGTATAACACAGTCGTTATCACCTTATACCAATCTGTGTCGGTGTGTGTAAAATGCCTCGATTGCCTCCCCCGGGATCTGAATCACGACGATGGACCCAGGGACAGAGTATTATTGCGCCATTTTGACCCTGTGTCTCCGGAGGTCACATATGCAAGGGTAGTCTGTCTCACAGTCCCTGAACCACATTATTTTCCCTACAGCCTAGCCTTCCCTGTAGTGCTAAAGCCCTAAACGAAGCAAGTCTAGATTTCCCCAGGTTCAGAGTCTGAATCTCTGGTCTCCCTAGGGCTCCTTTTCAATTTAAATGGGCTTGTTTGTTACTATCAAAATTATATATATTCAGAGACTAAGCCTTAGTCTAATGCAAGGGCGACGTGTATACGTAAACTTGTGTCGATTTTTCAACTCCGGTTGAGAGTGAATGAGTTGTGATTCAGGTGAATGAGCTGTGATTCAGGTGACCTCCTTGTTTAGTGCGTTTGCCCCAAAGTAGACCAAGTTCTTTATAGCATTGTGTCTGGGTGCACCCAACATACCACATGCATGCCTCGCGACCTTATTATATGGATCTGCGCAGTTGATATTTTGTTTAGTGAGCACCTTTCCGTCAAAGAGAGTATCTTAATAGATTCCGACAAAAAAAACTCACGCATTTCCACAACACTGTTGATATATTGTATTTCGGGGTATGGCGAAGGTTAGTTTCCAGGCCTCGCTCAGTTACTAGATTGTCATCTTAATTTTTCAATTCTGGGTGGGATGGAGTCTATTAAGTGATGTCATTGATTTGATTTACATAAACGGATGTTTGGGAGGGCTTCTGGGTGACAAAAGTAACGAATTTTGAAATCAACAATCAACGACGTTTCTAGTTTTAATTACTATGCTTGATGGCAATACCCGACGGGATTGGTAGTGACGGCACGGGGTTGAAATCTAATATTTCATTCAACATAGCCAAACAGATACTCCAAAGTAATACACCAAAATATGATACACTTAAAAGCGGTTGAACAAATTTACCGGCCAGTTTTATACCTATACATGGATACAATCAATTTCAAAATTACAATGTGTCAGCTGAATTACTCTTGGGAATATATTAGTACGATGCTACTTTTATAAATGATTGTAGCTTCGAGAACGTTTGCCGCCGAATACAACCACTAGGACTGAAATACAACTGTGAAACGAAACAGACTGTTGAATACACGTATGTAATGAGTGAGTTAGCTTCGCTCGGCGGTTGTGCTACCCCCGTAAGCGTGACAGTGTGGTTAGACAGCTTGTGCAAGTGGTTAGCTTGTGTCGGTAATAAGAATGGGCTTACATGTAACATGTTCTACTGTAAATACTCAGCAAGACCCACTCATTCGAATGAGCGCTACGAAACTGCTGCACACAGCATACAAGCCACTCGCTCACTGAGAGCGATACAATTTGCACCGAATGACCTGGGTAATCTGTCATCGAGGCAAGCCATTGACAGAATTGAATAGCTTCCATTTCATTGGTCGGGCTTCCTGCCAATCAGAATTGAGGGGCGGGGCTACAGTAGATAAACCCAAGGCTTAGTTTCTGCTGGATGACTACGGGCTATAGGGAATTAGAACAGTGAGACAGGCGGGTGTAATAACGATCAGGTAGAATGTGTTTTGAAAAACAATCTGTACTGTTTTGTTATTAAAGTTTTGAATAAAGACAAAGGTATGTGACAACAAGGTGATTATGACATAATTTGACACACTGGTTACCTATTACATTTCACGTTAAACAATGCTTGCTTTTCTAACACTGTGGAAACCCTCGCCTCTCGGCCGCTACTGTGTTTGTCCATAAACTTGTCCTGTTAAATTCAGCTGCTTCTCCAGCCTCTGATTCCCGACGTCGGTGTTGTTTCATAAGCGCTGCATCTAAACACAAGCCGATACATGTCTTGTTGACGAAAACGAAGGAATTTCAGGCAAATACCATCGCCAAGTTCAGGTGCACGATCAACCGACAGACTCGGTGTCGCACGTTTTCTTCCGTCCTCGGTGAGAAACAAATGAAAATGAAGATCTTTCATTCAGTATCGTTTTAAACCAGGTTGCACTCCATGAACCCATTGTTTACAACTTGGAAACATTTATATAACTATCGAGACACCTCTCCGCACAAGTAACATCTGTGGAATACTATATTTGTAGCATATAAGGCATCTGTGTTGGAAAATATACTTATCAGAAGAAAATGGATCGTTTCTTCTTTTTTTATTGTTTGTTTTTCAGTATAAAACTTGACATTAAAACGATTCCTAGCTCTGAGTCGGAATTTGCTTCGGTGAAAATGTACCCAGGCCAAAGAACCAGACAGATATATTGTATATAAAATCTCTTGGTTCTACGCGAAGTGATCCTGTGGTCCAACTACCCACCGCCAGAACCGCCGCAAAGTTACAGGGTATAGTTTGATCAATCTAATATTGCTGAACCAGTTTAAGACGAAGTTCTAATTCTGTAATGTCTGAAGCCAGTCCTGCAAATAGAATGTTGCTACTTCTCCATTGTAACGCCCTGAAGATTAATGTTATAGACAAACAATGTCAGTTTGATTCCATGTATTATTTCCCGGAAAACATAGCACAACCTCTTAATAGTCTAAAGAACACAGGGAAATAACATACAAAACGAGGCAGGTTTGAAACACAGAGACTATAATACCCTTGTATACGATCAGTATCAAGCCAGCGCTTCACTCGAATACGCATACTGTACGGACCTCACCTTTCTGCCTCTCGTACGCACATAGGACAGAGTGTCCACATTGTTACGATATCGAACTTTCAAGTACAAACAAGTTCATAAAAATAATCTACGAGATCAATTGAAACTTTTGCGTTCATTTCAATTACCATATAATAGGGATCATTACACGAAAAGACCTTTAAACGTGAAATACATGCCCAGTGTGTAGATTTCATCACCAACGGGAAATCGTGCAACATAAAACAGAAGCGAGCCGCTCATCCACACCAGTTTGAAACCCGTTCATCGTGGATGTATGTCAACAGAAATTAACATCCCGAGCCTCAGTATCTATTGTCATTCGACAGCTGAGAGAAATTGATCCGGTTTTATTTCAATCAATCACCGGTACGTATTACGATTGTTACTTTTCCCGCATGCTTGAATTGCAGAAATCTAACTCCAACGTTGTGACAAAATCACGGTGTTTCTCTATCTTTGTTATAAATTAATAAGAATACAGTTACAAATATATATGCATATCAATCCTATTTAACGAAACATGTTTAATTAATCATTTCAATACTCACGATATTTAGATCTTTAAGTTAAAGTTAAAATCCGGTATGAAATGAACTGTTATGGAAACTCGGAGACCTGGTTCTTACAAGCCCACCAGACCCCACTGTCATATTTCCAGCTCCGAATTTTTGCAAGGTTGATTTGCATAAACGTCAAACCCAAAATCCTATAATTTTCTTATGGCATAATTCTATGTTTGGTGAGGAGAACTCATGATTGACCGGTATTTCAGCTGAAGCAACAGCTGATTGGATCAGAGCAGCAAGTAACAAACCTAACATCTCCACCTTCGGTGTTTGTATATACGTGCGCCACTCTGTACGGGGTGACCCTATTTAAGTGAATTCGTCTATAGCTTCGCTCAGTAAGCGGACCGCCAAGCTCCGAGTAAGATCGGGCCGAGGTGCGAACAACTCTCCGGCTGAAGTCACGGCACGCCACAACGCGGCCGGCCCACAACCTCAACAGTGCGAAGACGGGAGCAGCTCGACAGCTTCAATACAACCGTTAGCCCGAGCTCTAACTCCAGCACTCTATTAGGACGACTGTTCCACGCCTCGGAGGGCGCTATCTTCTGGCCTAGTGGGCTTCATATAGAAGTTTTTTTTTTCTGTGGGATTTTCAGACGCTATGGCTGAGTCAGTGTTGAGACGAGTGGCATCACATGGCCGGACTCTCCTTGTCCGTGGACATAGAAACTCGGCTGGTGTTCGCCGTGTTTTTACCGAAGCGTCCGAATCTTCGGACCTATCTTTAACTGATGCATCTCCCAGGAGTTTTGAGGACTTGCCTGGTCCCACGGGACTTCCCGTTGTTGGGACACTACCGGAGTATTTTCGGAAAGCTAACAAGGGGCAGATGCACGAAGTCCAGGTAAACAAGTTTACGTTTTGTCTGTAGTAGTAATCTCAGCAGTAGTGTAGTAACTTACCGCTGATTTAGCCCCACGTGTTAGCTGTGTACGCGTAATTGTTGATTATATAAGCTAGCGCTGGGCAGGTAAGCGCCTCAGGTGAGTGGATGCGTGTGCTTGTATGGTATTTTTGTGTTAATGTTCAGACAAGGCGCCGTGGAAGAAATGCATCAGACATACCCGGCAGTGTAGAATGACATACAAGGTTCGTGTTGTCGCGAGTTCGAGCTGGCGTCTTTGTCCGGGTGCGTCTTATGACAAAGGGGGAGGGGTGTAGCGTCTATTCACAAAGGGGAGGGGTGTATCCCCCCGAGGGGTGCTACTGACAGCGTAACGTGTCCTACCTACCCGGTAAAAAGAACACCATCTGTCCATTATGCTTCAGAATCGGAACACAACATTAAAGAGGGTTCTAATCTTGAAATAAGATTTCTGTCCGCGGCGTTAAAACAAGCGTGTCAGAAATTCTCTCCCATTCAAAAACCTTTGAAATGTGTCGGCGATTAAACGTGGGTTAACCCAACCACCACTGCTAAAAATATACCTGTAAACAATACTTTCCCATGAACACGTAACCTGAAGGTTTTCAATAGAAATGCTTGAGAAACGGAAAAATCTTATCAGCTGTATGCACGCGTTTGAGGAGACGATCTCCACGCCATATCTCACGCCATTGACAAGGAGTTCTCCGATAACTCAACTGTGATATAAGCCAAACTACCTCCTGAAACATTTACCCAGGTAACTGAATCGCCCAGCTGACAGCATGGTGCATGTTTCCTTCCCAATACTTCTTATGACATTTCTATAGGGCAAGGTAGGATTTGTCCGCACTAAGGCGTTTGGTATGTACTCGAAACAGTGCAAGCTTCGTGTGTGTGTGGCGGCGGCGGTCAGAGCGCGTTCTACGTCTTGACCGCTGGCGGCTTCAGCTACGTCCGTCGTCTCTCCTACGAGGCTGGGTCTCGTGTTTACCTTTCACATACCTTCCACGCTGATCCTCTCAAGACGTCTTTCCCATTGATACTCTTTTAGACAAACTCCACAGCGTAACTTTCCTTTAAACCGCCACTCGGGCACATTTAACACGTTAATGATTCCGACGGTGTTTAACGGCAGTATATCTTCCTAATACATTATACGAATTGTTCACGCCCCTGTTTCATACAGACATGCTACTGTATAAAAGCTGGGCTGTAAGTTCACTTACGTACTCGTTATATCATATCAGGAAAAATCGGAGCCTGGCTTGAACCAACTTCTTTTAACACAGAGACACAATGGCATATATATGTTACTCTGTACCTTTGAATTTCAAAAGAAACGACATTACAATATACTGACACTGGCAGCTGACAGCGGCGATGGGTCAGTGAGCGCCATAACGTAGGCCAAAAAGACACTGTCGGTTGGGTAGTATTCATTCTGTTTGGCTCTAAACCCGGCCTCCCGATGACCAAAGTCGCATAGCCTATTATATACGTGCTAATAGATTTCTCACTAGTATGAAAGCCCATTGAGGACATCGCGCAGCAGGTAGTGGTTATAATCGTTGTACGTGGACTCCGATCCGAGAAAGACAGCCACAAACGTAAATACTTATTGAAACGCCCCATCAGAAGGGTGTTTCTCATTTGAAATTCCCATACATGCCTTTATATTCTAGCTAAGTCTCATTTGCGCGTCGAAAATGATAAGAATGGATTCATCTATTATACCGCGATAACAACTCATCGTAATTCATCTCCTCTCTGAAAGAAAATAGAGAGGCATATTTGTATCGGTAAATCAGGCAGTTTTTGAGATTGGTGGGGCTGTAGAAAAAGCCACGACGTGCTCAGCTGGCTAACCCGCCGCGTTGGTTACGTTCCATCTTATTGCCGTTAAGTAGGGTTTCGAGATGGGATTGTTGAGTTCGGAGCCAGCGACTAAACTGGTTTGTAATTTTTCTGGGTACACAAGATACGTGGGAGGATGTGGAGGAATACGGAAGTGTTTTCACTGGGTCTAAATACCTCACAGGCGTGCCAAGAATAACAATCATTACTTAATTGTAATTCTGCTGGCTTGTTTATTACCTACATGCTGCTGTTATGAAGAGATGAGAAACGGTATGCACACAGATTTGTGATTATTCACTTGCCCGTTGAAAATGTTTCATAATTAAGAAAAAACTTTCTGCTCTCTTAACAAACGTCCTATTTGTGACTTTCTTTGACGTCACAGTGCTGAATGTGTTTTTTTATCGACTAACTGACTTTTAAGCGAGTTACACTGATACAGGTGTGTGGCAAGGTGGTGCACCCCTGCTCTAGTTCTTACCAATAGGGGCATATTTTGTGTTATTGAAGAAACATCCTACTATCCCATTGCTTCACGCTAAAGCTATTTCTTATATGACAATACCTTATATTTATATTAACATTTTTATATTTAGCACTTTTCCCTTATCAGTTATTGCCGATGTGGACGTAACATGAACGTAATGGTAATACAACTGTTAAAAAAGCAAAGTCACTGTTGTGATCCCCCTCGTAGGAAAGAGGGGGAAGATAGTGTAGTAAGATAGAAAGACCCGGCAGTAGGGCGTGACGCCAGGGGACACGTGTGTGTATTGTGATGGCTGACAACAGCAGGAACTATCCTCATGTTTCACCTGTCGACTTATAGCCCGTGTCCCTCGACTGGTGGAGTTAGCCATGCGGAACGTCAAAACTGTCACACTAACTCACTCCAACACAGAACTTGATAATTCATCCCCCGTGTGGTGTCATGTCATTGTCATGTCGTTGTCATGTCGTTGTCATGCCGTTGTCATGCTGTTGTCACGTTTTAAATGATCATGATATAACTATGGGATGTATATAACATTTGTAGTTTCTTTTCTCTAAATGATGCATAGCGTGAACTTAAACAACCGTTACGTGATTTTACAAGGTTGTACATTTTTGCCGTTATTTACTCCTTGGTGTTACATGGTCACTAATACAATATCTGTACTGTAATGCAGTAAGCTGAAGGGTGTTCTTAGTTAATATAAAACTACAAATTCACAAAAGCATGTCTGAAAATTTATCTGAGTATATTTCAACATGTGCTCAGCAAGGCACAATGTTAAACAAATCAAAATATATCAACAACTTAAACCTCCAACTTATTTCCATTCATCATATTTTACAACCAAATATTTTCCGACTTTGGGTACCACTCGTTTCTGCCGAGCTGGGCCTAGGTTTGGGCTGATTAGCTGTGATAATCCATCATCAAAGCGCCACTAATGTCTCCAGAGAGACGCTTTGGCTTCAACAATCCGGGACATTTGCCTAGTGTTTTACACACCGGCATTTGACGTTTTTTGAACCTCTTGCACTAGATGACGTTTGCTAAGCATTACGCATGTATTGGTTCAATGGCAGGAGCCTATACGGGGAGTTTTTTAGAGGTCAAATCTGATACTGTGAAAGGTAACGAATTCGAACAAAAAATAAAGAATAACACCACTATAAGTTTGTAGTGCCTCAAAGCAAAATTAATTGAGATACATATATCTACGTATCTCATGACAACAACGATAAAGGTTATTCTCTTTCAGAAAAAGTCCAGTATACTTCGACAGTGTATTGATGTAAACTCAATGCTTCCGATTTGCGAGGAACGTGATAATCCGTTATAATTCTTTAATTCAGCTAGTTTTAGAAATATTATTCTTTTTGAAGTGAGCTATTTGAGCGTGCCATGTACCAATTACTCATTTGAGGGCAGCGGTCCAAATTCTCGCGTATTCGCAGCAAGCTGAGCGACCCAATTTCGGCATAGAATGTCTTCAAGGTAGAAGAAACACCTTTTGAACCAGTTTACCTCAAAATGATAATATTTAAAAGATTTTTGTAAAGAAATGATTGGAATGTTTTTACCGAACAGCGAGAGACGTTACGTGGTTTAGACGTTATTGTGTGCACGAGTGGGGTGTGCTAAGTGTATCAACTGGATGTCCCAAATACCTGTACTCGAGTGGATTGATCTTGATGGCAAATATGATAGGTGACGCTCCAAGAGTACGGTGTGAGGTAGCTATGCCAGTCATATTGACATGAAATAACCTGGCCTTGAAGTCTCTGACGCTGATGCCCCTTGGATGCTTGCGAGTTTTCAGGTGGCCTTAACATTATCTCAATTTGGAGAACGCTATGCAGCAAATATGAGTGCGTTATGTGTGTTATAAGGCTCTGGGTAATGTAGCTGGTTTCTTCCGAATTGTTATTAAACTTTGAAACTTAGAGTTAAGAATAAATTATCGTCTTGGTTAATTTCAATGTTGTCTAGGTTACGTGAATTTAGTTGCAGTACTATTTTGCAAGATTTTCTTCGTCATACATTGCATTCATTGAAAAAAAATACGATGTTGTGTAATGACGTCTACGGAATGAGTGACGTTAACGTTAGCGGGGTGAGTGAGTGACGTTAAGTAGGCACTGTCAGAATCGTGAGCACGTCAGCCAACACGAGGCTAAAGGAAGCTAGCAACTGAAACAGTTCTGGTTGTGTAAGTCGGGAGACCATCTTAGTGTGGTACAGATAAATGGTGTTTGCATGGGGAATGGAACATATGGTTCAATTCTTGTTTGTTGATGTACGGTCCGTCAATCCTCGCCAGAAACAGATGCAAATATTCATTGCCAACCTGTTCACACTTGAGTTTGGTATCTGACCACAAGGCGACATGTTGCCACCCCTATGTTCATAACAAAGTTTTAGATAATAAAATAACTTTATGTTAAATAGTTTCCAAAATTTATTAAACGATTTGCTGCTTGTCTGATTTGTAAAAGACGTTCGGTAATGGAGTTTTAACAAAATGACCTAATTAAAAAAAAGTATTGTGTTTTGGTTGATTTAACTTTTGGAAATTTAGATTTCAAGTCGTTCATTTAGCATTCCTCGCGTGGGGAAGAGACGCACAGGGCCGTTTTAGTGAATGAAAGAGGATTCAAATCGGATTTCCAATGTAGCGCCCAGGATAACAGCATGGAATACTATGTAAATATACAAACCTCATCCCTTCACTCACGAGCAGGCTTTGACCTAGAACCCTTTCTAAAAGTCCAACTCCAAACTTAGTTCGGAGTTCACATCACGTTCTTAACATTTCTGCTTGGAAGCTACAAACATCTTTGTGGTCGCGCACACGGCTCAGTGAAGGCCTGTTTGTTTGTGCCATCATATTTGAAAAGCTCAGGTGGTCAAATGAAATAGGCTATCTCCCCCTAGTCAGTGGTCAAGCGGAGATTTAGCAGGTTTTATTTGAGTCCTACGCCTTGCGGGAAAGTGTTACAAGGTCCCAGCACGACCAACAACAGGGAGAAGAGGACAAATGACAGCCTTAAACGCTAGACCTTAATATCGGTAGGGAATCAGTACTTCAAACATTGACAATTACCCCGGCAAACCAAGCCAAAAACAATTCTAAGATTGACTTGTGATTCGGCCAAACATTCAAAAGGTCGCCGTCTGTTTAGAGTGGAGTCAGCTCAGTAGAGAGTGTTCTGACGTTTATTAGCTATCGCGCCTTTCCGGGGCTTACATAGTCTACTACAGGGGACAGATCTTTTCGTTTACACGACACCTTTCGCTTCCTCATTACCGCCATTTAATCCAGAACTAAGTGGCATTTTCTCTACAAATATTGCTGGTCATAGGTAAGAGGTACGGACGGATAACATATCCTTGTCGGACTCCAAACAACCCCCGTGTGGCACAGTGTTTTCTTTCACGGGCACATAACTCGAATGCGTAATGAATCTGGGATACTGTTCACCGGAACACCTCTCTGAAATATTTTAGTACAGTTATAATATATACAAGGTATTGAAACTCTGTGGATGAATGGAACTGATTAATCCTTGCTTGCAAATGAATCTTGTTTCTCCTTCAAATCTGACATAGGACCGAAAGTATGATAATGTAGGGTGATAATTGTAGGTGGCAGTATCCCTTTTAATGTTTCGCTTCTAACAAGGTAAACAGCAAGCTTAACAATTCACACGTGCCCTCTATAGAATTTGGCCTAGAATGAGGTACACCTTTCTGTAAACAATTGTGAAAACACTTAAAAACATTCGTAGCAGTGCCTCTTAGGAATAGATACGCTGTTATTTTCAGACGCTCCTTATGAAACTGTGGCAAGCCAGGTATTTTACAAGTGTATTTGTACGAATAGTTGCCTCGAGACTTGGAGTGGCATCGAGCTGCAGATGTCTGAACTCCATCTGCGAGAGATCATCCCCACCTCCACTACTCCTTGTTACACACGTTTATGGGCCAATGAGCAAAAAAAAAAGGAAAAAGGAGAACACGCTTTTCTCTTTCCAAGCGATGTAAGAGATTTTGAACAGTAGATATACATCATCCCCAACGTATGAATGGATATTTTCCCCGCAAATTGTTTTAACCCTATAACTGTCAGCACATATTTCTTACAAACAAGAACAGTCAACACTCCCCTTTCTGCAAGAGTGGCTAATTTAGGGGGGATACTGTTCGTGTTGACTTTTACTAAAATAAATGTAAAAGAAACAGTTGTTAGAAAACATAAAAAACCCATTGCTATTCCACGTAATGTATTAAGGTGCATGGTTCCTGACCCATATTCTAATCAGATCACAGGATGAGAGCACTCCCATGTTAAACAGAGCAGGGAATTGAAAATAGATGTATTTTGCAGTTGTTTAGATTCGTGCAAATCGCCCAAGTTTTTATTGGGGTCCGAGGGGCCTTCTTTATCCTTTCGGTATCGGATTTCGCGGGTCGGGACTTTCTAGTAGTGTGTTCTGTTTCCACAGGCTGGAGGGGACGAACAGGGCAATTACCGTACTTCAATAGGAGTTTAGTCTCTGTGCTATGTTTTCTTTGTCCCTTGCGCTGGCCGAATAAGACGCGAGTTTTCTCCGACCCCCGAAAACGTGCTTCATCCTCTTCAATCCCTTAGTTTCTTTGAACCCTAACAATTTAAGTGTAACATCGCAATGGACATTTGCATTTGAGAAATTCCTTCGGCCGTCTAATTGAAAACCCGAGTCAGGCGCTTTGAGAAGGTTAGTTTACGTCTTCCCAGGGTGTAGTGTTGTACATAAATTGTGCTGCCAGCAAATAACTTTATATAATTTTAGTTTAATTTAAAACCAAGGAGAATTTCAAGTGCCTTTCATTTTATAGGCAGTTTTATGCTTGCGTGCGAGGAACAGTCCACCTCTTTGTAGTGGAGTCCAATGTCTTCAGAAGTGTCAGGTATTTGGACAAAGTCACCTAAAATAAGCAAATAAACAGGGTTTGCAGGTTCCCTGGGTATCGAATGAGGTCCTTCAACGTAACCCCTTGTCATTTTTCGCACTTAGCAAGCCCCCAATTACCCACAGTTAGTCACAGCCAACGCACTATCCGGGGGATCAGAAGAGTCTTTGTAATAAGGGCCCAGGGAGAAGACAACCTTGCTGTTACCCCTACGCCAAGGCGAAGCGTGGGATGTTTACGACCACGTGCCCAGACCTCTAACAAAAGCTGAACTGAGTGATTGATTCATCATCTAGCGTGGCAGCATTCTAACTGCCTGTAGGGGTCAGCTTTAGGGGTCTGCATTGTCCTTTGCAACAGGGCCGTACACGAGAGGACAATACGGGTTTGTGCCGACCTATTGTCCTACCCCTGCCGTGTGTCTTCTACATAAAAAATGTCCTTTAACCCTATGGCCTTATGACAGCCCTACCTTATTAGCATCTCCTAAGGTCTAGGGGCATTCTAGACGTTTCAGGGTTAAGTAATATGCACATATCCATCAGGCGGGATCTTGTCGTGATGTTCCTGTACCACGTTTCACCACATATAACACTGTTTGATCCGAATAGGACCAACCCTTAAAGGGTTAACCATACCATCTGACAGTGTGACATCACGTGTACATAATACCATTGTTAAAGTCACCCTAACATGCAACAGACCTTTAAGAAAACTATATTGTGTTCACAGAGCTTCCTTTACAAGGATCTCTCACCCTGGTGATTTCCTTTCCATCTAACAAACCGACAACCAGAGACTGGTTCATTGAGAGTCGCGCTGGCCAACAAACTCATTAACTCACTCACTGGTGACGTCATTGTTCTGTGGAGTGACATGCGATCACCACCCTTTTGCCACCCTCGAAGTTTAGCCGATAAGATAGAGAACGACCCGAGGTAGCAATACCAGCTACCTTGTGGCCTGGATCTTGGTGCGTTGGCCGGGGTTCAAACACACTCTACTTTAATAGACTCTCAAACAAACGGTCCGTGCGTCCTTATCGGTCGATTTTGTGATAAAGTTGAACCAACACTTTCAAACATGCATAAATTTGATTCAATGTCGGCCTTGTCGGGCAACAGGGGACAGAGCCTGACGAACGTTGGAGCAATATGTTCGACGCAATCGCACCGTATATCACATGACTTAATCGTGAAACTGTCGATATCATTGTTCCCTTGTCATATATATTTTAAATCAATTGAAAGATTTTCAATTGAATTACCCTTAATCCCCCTAACCTCGTACAATTATACCTCAACACAAGGAGTGTCATTCACAGTATGCTCGTTAAAACGTTTTACGGGATTCTCGACGTTTGGTTGCACTATCCCTTTCAACCATTCATCCCGAAATACCATTTTAATATCGTAATGCCATCTAACAGTCGTAGCTTTCATTACTAATTTAACGTAACGTAAGAATCTTGTCATGCTACGATCCAAGGTGACCCCCTGTCTCATTACGGTGGCTTAAACATAAATAGAATACCAGGAGATGAGGTTTTATTCTTGTTAATATGCACAGAATGTTGCTCTTTTCGTGCATGGAATAACCGAGACAGCATGCAACGACATACGGCCTCCTATCAGGCCTTACCTTCAGCACAAATAATCAGGACCGGCAAATTGGGGACATTCTGTTGGCACATTACTCCAAGTCATTCCCGACATTCAGATTCCAAACGTTTAGTACTTCGCCCCTCGTCAGTTTTTACGAGGGAGATACGGAAAAATACAATTTTTTATTGGCAGGACATTTTTGTATCTGAAAGATAACAAGACGTCTTCAAACTGCAAGCACTACCCCGCTGATCAGCTAAATTTTTTAAATCCCTCTTCACCACGTGTCGCACAATCTGTCTCGGCTGTGATAACACGAATTAATTATGTCAATTCGCTTTCTTACATGCGCTTCCTATGAAATGGTTTTTTGATATGACATCAGATAACATATGTATTTTAATCTGAGTAATTGCCCACTCTCGAGTTCTTGTCGAGTAGAATTCTCGTTACCCGGATTTAATTCTCTCTCTGGGAAAACCTATGGCCTTTGTGGTTTTGTTCTGACATAGTTCTTGTGTAGGGTTATTATCACTGGGAATCTTGTCTGGCTAATATTCAAGATCCAAATTATCATTTGTACGGACACCCATATAAAGTGTCCCATATAGATTTCGCAGAATGTAAATCTAAACAATCCAAGCATATTTCTTTTACAAACCTAATTTGCCTGTTTAGTCGGAACATGCATGGTTTATATGATAAGGTGAACCTTATACGGATAACGTAAGCAAAACGTTCTGGAATCTTGAAGTTTCTACCGATAAAGCATAACATTTACCATTTGTTCTTGTAGTGGAATCAAGTTTATTATTTCAAGCAGCGATTACCATTCCCTCGTTTGTTTAGCCGCTGAAGATAACGTCAGCTTTACGTGTTTTGATAGCGAAAACACTGATTGTGAATTTTATAGTTTGGTCAAAACATAAAACTTGCCTTCTATATCTGAGATAGAGGCAGAAGCAGCTCCTCGAAGTCAACCGTTTTATCAATAATTTCCTCTTTACACATTTTATTTTACAGTAAAAGTCTTAAATCTTATTTTTTTCACTTCACCCCAGATGCCATAGCATATAAAAAAGTCAAATAAGACCCACTAGGGCAAGACCTGCTATCAATCATCACCTGTAGGACATCTCGTTCCAGCTTGGGACATCTCGATCCAACTTTTTAACTATTCCATTATGATCGAGCGTGTCGAAAAGATACACTACTTTTTCTCCCGAAACGCTACAATCCGTATAAAGTAAGCCAGCAGCTGTTTGAATGTGTCATATTTGCTTTGATTGTGTTCTCGGTAACGCTGAAGAAACAAATAACGGGGGCGTTATCACTCTATATACATTAAGCGGAGATGAAGCTGAATTAAACGACTCCATTCTTAGATACTTTGCCCGCTATCGTGACGGGATCTGTGAGGGTTTTCTCACAGAAAGTCCTGATTCACTGACAATGCCCAGATCCTGTCACTGACATGACTATCAGACTAAAAGGGCGGGGAAGCGCTATTATTGCATCCGAGTAGAAACAGGAAAGATTTGGGATAGAAATCAGGAAACAGGGCTGAGTATTCAAGAAATATTCTAACCCCAGGCTTGTTTAAAATGAACACGTGGTAATAGATAGGACACCCTTGTGATGTTAGATGTTGATGAATATTTGGTGATATATTTTGAATGTATAATTAATTAAAAGTATAATTTATTGAATGTATAATTTATTATATCGTAACTGCTTATCCGTATCCGCTCCCGAAGGGCTATTCAGGTATACGTCAAATATATTCATAGATATAGGTATGCACTCATATGTCTAGTTAGCCCTTTGTTTAATAAAATGATAAACCTTTCAATCCCGCGCCTGTGATATTGTTTATGATACATCTTATATACTTATAACTCTTGTGTCTTTCAGCGTCGTACACATAAAAAGTACGGCAAAATCTTCAAAGAGCCATTCGGCCCGGTCACCAACCTATCAGTAGCTGACCCCTCCCTGGTGGAAGAGATCCTGCGGTCTGAGGGAAAGTACCCGTTCCGACCCCCCTACCAATCATGGCAGTTGTACAACGAGATGAGGAACAAGAAGGGCGGCATCATGACGGCGTGAGTATATATGTACATGTCATATAAATCATCAGGTAAATGGCTGTATCTGTCTTGAGGGGTCACAGTGTCATACTATGAGTTAAAGAGTCCCTTCAGACAGAGGCCATCGTTGGTCGAGGGGTGACTGTTTCCTTGTGCTTACTACATGAATCAGAAGAACCCGTTAGCCTCTTAACATTTAGATATCATCGGTTCAGTAGTCAATAATAGAAAGGAGATTAATGTAGAAAGACATATTAAATATGAACGATCGATTATTAAATGTAAAATGTTAATTTTTAAATAATATGTTTAATTTAAATGAATCGTTCCACTGAGAATGTAATCTGATAAATTCTAAATTTATTTTTTAAACATATAAGGAGTTTCCATGGGTGTGCTGTTGCCATAGTTCTCTTCTTAAGTACATATTGGTATATAAGCTTAGATTAATGTTGAAGTGAAATGCGTTGAAAGTGCTTGCTCTAAATACACATCAGCATTAGAAAAACGATTTGGTTAATGTAATCCAATAAGAGTAAGTGAGTGAGTGAGTATGGTTTTACGCCGCTTTCAGCAATATTCCAGCAATATCATGTCGGGGACACCAGAAATGGGTTTCACACATTGTACCCATGTGGGGAATAGAACCCGGGTCTTCGGCGTGATGAGCGAACGCTTTAACCACTAGGCTACCCCACCGCCCCAATCCAATAAGAGCTTATGGTTAGTGTTCAGTCAAGTCCTGGGATATACGTCCATTTAGGCCTCACTGAAGTTACTTTTCACAATTAACCACTTGCTTGCAAACAAATATGTGCTTTTGAATATTGATTTTGACCTCAGACCTACGCAAGCGAAGAACTTTATGTTTATCCAATTTAAAACAAAATATCCTATTTGTGTGCAAATACATGACATTGTTCTGCTTCTGAGGTGGTATTCAATAGCACACATATCTCCCCTTCAGACAAGGCGAACAGTGGAAACGTTGTCGGAGCGCTATGAACCCCAAGCTGCTGAGACCCAAGTCAGTTGGCGAGTACGTCAACGGTATCAATGACGTTGTGGCATCGTTCATGGAGAGGTTAAGATACCTCAAGGACGTGGAGGGAGACGGGCAGTTTGTTCCTCACTTACCAAACGAGCTCAATAAATTCACAATGGAAAGTAAGTATACACATCCATTGACCATCTTAGCAGTTTTAGTCCTTACGAATCGAAAATAACTTCAAACTTAATTTTAATTTGTTAGATATTTTCTTGATATAAACGTTACAGATAACATTAGCCATTGTGTGTTATTCAGATTGATGAATGTTACAGAGTTTACACTGACAAACTCAGTACTATTTCAATAAGCTCACATACAATAATACCTGTTAAATTGAAACATACAACTTTGTGGATGACAACTTCTTGTTTATTGCATAGTAATAGAATCTTGTAGAATCTTACACCGTTATCAAGCTAAACTAATCTACATCGAAACGTCGCTCTATGCAATAAACAAGAAGGTGTCAGCTATTAAGTTGCATGGTTCATTTTTTACTCACCAACTTCTGGAATGCCGATCAAACAATTAATTCCTTTTGTTTACGTTTTCAAACACAAACACATGTTTCATTTCTTAATATTTTCACATTTTTTGACACATTCTACATGACTGCCAAACAAGCAATTTGATGTGAAAGCTTCAGGCAGTTATAGTTTAGTTTCACATTCTCATAGTGTCAACGCTTATATACACTAAGTAATTTGGCAGTATACGTTTCACATTCGTCCGGGACATAAATCATTTAAGAGACGTGTCTAAACAGGTATAGGTAAATCAATGTCTCTCATCGGCGTGTTGCAGAGAGAGGAAGAACACCACTCTCATGAAACGAGCTTTAGGAGAACTTATTGGTTATTAAGGGATTAGCGAGGTGTCAAGAAAATTATGATAAACACCGATATCATAGGATCGTTAATTGTAGCGGAAAGGGAGGGTGAGTGTAAAACTGTTTGTAAGTGACACAAGTTTGGTTACACTAATCCCTTAATTAGATATGAAAGGTCGCAACCTCTTCGGATGACCTTTCCATGTCCCTTCAAGTGTCATGCGTGTCTCCCAATTGTGTCAATAATCTGACATCTGTGTGTGATAGGTGATAAGTTCAAGCAGGTTAACAGGTCTGGGTTCGAACCCGCCGATTTGTGTAAATATACAAGGGGAAGTGTAAACTATGTGGCGGTTGTTTGTAAGGCTAGGGATAGTGTTGAAACTACACAGTCGTACAATGAAACAGATGGTACAGTTATTCCTGCACCGGTTTAGTGCTGAATCTAGTTTATGTGATCACCAGTGAAGATCCGAGTAATGGCTGGCCTTCAGCCAACCCATGCTTGTCCTAAGAAGTACGGGATCGGGTGGTCAGGGTCCCGATCCACAAAGCGTTCGTAGCGTTACGAGCTGTCGTAACTGTACAGTTTATCGTAGGATTACGAATGACGTAGTGCTACGAACGCATTGTGGATCGGACACCAGGGCTCTTATTCTTGAAACGTGCGTAGCCCTAGGAATTCTTAACTTTGATCGTAGCCAATGTGTTAAGTATGGGCTTAAGAAGTTCGTAGGGCTACGAACGCTTCGAGAATAGCTAGCCATGACCCTTATTCATGAAACGTTAATAGCTCAAACTTAACTTTGATCATAGCCAATGTGTTAAGAATTGGGAAGTTCGTAGGGTTACGAACGTTTCGAGAATAGCTATGTAGGCTCGTTGACTGGGTTGTTACAAGGTGTTGTATCCGAGTTTCGTAGATAGCTGCTCATGATATCAATCACTAAGCTGGTTGCTCCAGACGGGATTATTTGCACACATCGCGGTCACATAACTCGAATATTGCTGACTAGGGCGTTAACAATAAACAAACATCACCTACCAGATGACATACAGTACAGTATCTGCTACACAGTTTCTTCATAACCAAACAATTGAACAACCACCACAATCAAACCTGCGATCCACTGTAAACACAGGCCATGAGAGTGATCTCCCTTAGTCACGTGGTGATGTATGTTTCAGCGTTAACGTGGGTGATACTGGAGACGAGGCTGGGATGTTTGGAAAAGGATACGTCTCCCAGGATACAGGACTTCATTAAGTCCGTTGCAACAATGTTCCTCACTGGACACAAGCTGGTGGCCTTCGCCAGCGTTCACAAACTGCTCAGGACGAAGATTTGGAGGGATCACGTGCAAGCGTGGGATACAATATATGATATCGGTATGTATGCATTAGTAATCATCCTGACAGACTTCCCACAGCAGGACGCGTGTATGGGCGTAGATGTTTTATTAATGAAAGAAATGCAAGGATTAATCTAAAGGAAGGAATGAGGGAGGGAGCATGCTTGTCTGTCATACAGACCCTGAAGCAAATATATCCAAGAAAGGCCACGCAAGTCTAGGAAATGTGGCAAGTCTAAAGAATGCATTTGTAATGTCATAAACACATGTTTATTTCACCCTGAGGTGAAATGAACATACTTGTCATGTATTTCATATATCGACAGAAATGAACTTAGCCTCATGTACGTTACAGCTACGGAGCACATAGACAAGAAGTTGCTGGAAGTGGAGAGCCGCCTGGCGGTCAGCGAGCCTCAGGAGGGGGAGAGGGTGGACTTCCTCACGTACCTCGTCAAGGGGAAGAACCTGACAAAAGAGGAAATCAACAACAACATTGCTGAGATACTGCTATGGGGTGTCGATACGGTAAGTTGTCACTGACGTGGAAAACGATATATTCTATAGTATATGTATATATTTCGGATATACCTGATTACAGTCACGAAAGAAAGGCAAATTGCAACTTGTCAGACCAGATGAGATCGTGTTGAGATTGATTTTGTTACGCATGTCCACAAACTACAGTAGGAAACAATTCCGAGCTGTGGTATGTTGTTTGTCTCGCTTATCGTTATGGCTCCCGGTTGTACACTTGAAACAATGACGATACCCGGTGTTCGCTAGAGCAAAGGACAATTATAAAGGTCTCTATATTCACTATTTTACAGGCGGCCAACTCGCTGTCGTTCTTGGTGTACGCTCTGGCCAAGAACCCACACGTACAGGACAAGCTTCGAGACGAGGTGGACCACGTGGTGGACAGGAGGACGGCCAACTATGAAGACCTACAGAATATGCCCTACCTGAAGGCGGTCATCAAGGAGACATTGCGTCTCTACCCACCAATCCCAATCAACGCTCGCGTCACACAGGAAGAGATCGTCGTGGACAATTACCTCATACCCAAAGGGGTACGTGTCATCACTTTATGCGCACACGTCATCACTTTATGCGCACACGTCATCACTTTATGCGCACACGTCATTAGTTATTGTACACATCAAACATGAACTCACCTTTTCGTATTTTAATACGACAGCATAAAGCTCTTGTTTAAGATGAATTTCTTCCGCGTTCCATTAACTGTATGGCATATTTGCATTTTAATGAATACTCTAAGAGTTATGCAATCAACTTACGGCTATTTGCAAGAATCATCAATATCTGAATAACCCCAGTTTAACCCAATATCGGTATATATAGCCCGGTCAGTCACATTTTCCCTTGTCAATAATAAAATTAGGTGACCCACATTCTGGCCTCAGCAGCAGACATTTCAACCTTGACCTTTTGGCACTCCGGTTACTACAAATCACAGCGCGTTTACGCTAGTTCTGTCACGATCGATCCCACGCAGGCCCAAAGTCATAACAAATCGCTCATTCCTAAGCTCAAACACGATTTATTGTGTACCTTGGATCACAGTGTCTAATTACTTCTGCCAACCCCGTAAGCTTGATTGATCTGGCAAACACCGGACCCATTCCTTCAGCTGAACAAGCAACCGTATACATATGTATGTACTTCCAGGAATCATTAACAAAACTGTCATTCCAGACAGTAAACAACAAAAAACGTTAATATCTATTTTGTCGATCTAATTTCATGCTAATCGGTGTTTCTTCCTATTATCCAGACTTGCATTCTCCTAAACAACTACACCATGTCGAGAGATGAGAAGATCTTCTCCAATCCTGACAAATTTGTGCCAGAGAGATGGCTAAGGGAAGAAGCTAAGGACTGGCATCCATTTTCAGCCATCCCGTTCGGATACGGAGCGAGAAGCTGTGTTGGTAGGTACAGAGCTGTATTGGTCGTAGTAGTCGCAGTGGCTGTAGTGGTCGTTGTATGTAAATGTCCGTTAATGGAAACTGCGCAATACAAGTAAAATAGTTACATTGTACTTTCCATCCTGTCATTTGAGTGGACGTGGATAATATTAGTGTGCATCTTATTTCCCGACATGTGCGGGTTTGTATTTTATTTTTTGGGTCCAAAATCGTACAAAAATATGTTAGAAATACAAAATGAATATTCTTTAAACAACGTGTAGACTAGAAAGTACAAATGTAAAATACTTCATTCATCAAGTATTTTTCTGTGCGGAAATCTGTATAATGTCTGCTTTAGGTAACCTTATTTTGAGAGGTTGTGAGGTAGCCTAGTGGTTAAAGCGTTTGCTCGTCACGCCGAAGACCCGGGTTCCATTCCCCCTTTAGGTTATATGTGTGAAGCCACTTTCACCGTTGCTTGAAGATTGCTAAAAGCTGCGTAAATTCAAACTCACTCACTCACAAAATTTTGAAGAATTATAGTTGATTTGATTTTGATTTCAGGACGACGAATTGCCGAGACTGAGATGTACCTCGCCACAATTCAGGTAGTTATTTCTTGCAGTTGTAAACATCGCTTAATGCACTTAAAACCTGCTGTTGAACGCTTGCGGTTTTTAATTATTCCACACACAAACGTTTGTCGATGATGGCTTTCGCTTGACCTAGTTTCCTTTCAGTAGTGAAAGAGGTGTAGCTCATCCCCATCTCGTGTAGAGCAGACATTAATATACACCGTCCCCCCTCACAGCATAACCTTGTTATAATGAGTCATTCTATCCTGTCGTTTAGTGGCCATATTCATAATAACTAAACCACAATGCACCTTATAGCCCCATATCGCGTGGACATGTTTCATAATCTGGTGCAACTAGCAGGTTGGGCCTTTCCCCTTACACGGTTTGCAACCACTGACAAGTGTGATGTTTATATTTATGGGTCTATTGTTACATGTTGCAGCTTTGCCAGAACTTCTGTCTCCAGCTGAGTGACAAGTTTGACATCACCCCTTCAGTCCGAACACAGCTGACTCCCGGCCCAGAACTTCCGGTGCTTTTCAACGAGCGGTAAAAAAGTGGGAGCGAAATTCCTGAAACGAACCAACTATAGTAAACGACGGCTGAAGGCAATCCAACTCACAGGTCATGATCAAACGTGCCATAGATCGCCTACTGACAGATAGCCGTTTAATGCAGAATATCGACATCAACTTTCAACCTGCATGACCAAATAAGGAACAGAGGAAGATTTTTCTCAGGGTGATGAATCGATAAATTATCAATTACCTCACAGGGGATGTTACGTTGATGTAACCCAAGCCATGACGTCATATTTCTTGCACGTGCATGGTGAGGTGATGGTGACGTGTCGAGCGTTCATTGGGCGCTCAGTTCTGCCTCTCGCTCCTGCAATATAGACCGTAGAACAGGCGTGTGTGTATCGTACTGTGGTGATGAAATGCATCTTGCAAAACACTTTCAGTGACTGCACCGTGACGGCAGAATGTTTAGCCAAAGACGTTGTCGATTGTGAACGGGTAACGGGTACGGCAATGAGCCGTGTTTTAATGCACTGGCTTGAAATTTATTATAATGCAACACCAAGAACTGTTTCACTTCTTTCACAACTTTTCAATCGTTGGATGTGATCACTACTGTTCATGACCTCTTTGCATCCTTGTGCTTATTCTACCTCTTCATCAACAAACATTGTGTATTACGTCATCAAAAACTGTGTACACACCGCCATGTTGAACAAAGCTGTATATTTGACTTCACGTGAAAATGTCGCATCATTCAAGGAATACCAACTATGGAGACACCTTGGGATTTCAAACTGTGTTCTATGTAACTGTGACAGTAAGAGACAGGTCTCACGTTCCCATGGCGACCAACTGAGAGACAATGTACAGTTGACATGTAATTCTGGTGTCAATATTTATAAATTACGTGACTTTAACACGCTTTGCAGTTCAAAGTTTGCACAACGAGGATTCTCACTTTTCGAGTCCTGATACTAAGTAGGGTTGTGGTGTTAGTTTCGTATTTCAATCGGAAGCGGGATTAGTCAAATATTCAAAGCCGTGGTTACGTATTTATAAACAGGAATGTTTGCCCTGCCCTGGGTTGAAATACGAGACTTAATACCATGTCACTTCCAGAAGCAGCAGAAGCAGCGGTCGTGATTGTTAGTTGTGTACATATAAACCCAACGCTCAGTAGCTATTTGTTGTTGATAAAACGCAGTGACAGTATTACTATCGACTTGTGTGTGTACCTCCTCAGTGTACATATGACTTTATTTTATTCAATATTTAATTATTAAACCTTGAAGTATTGACAGTCCTTGGTTGAGTTATGTATGGTGGGTTCTATATGCTTGATCCGTGGAGTGGCATAATGTCGGGAACACCTGGTGTCAATGCTAATGACACTGATGCATGATCACATGTTGTCAAGTCGGCGTCATACAGAGA